CATGTCCTGGTTCATAGGTCTCAACACTCAACTACTGAGCAACACCAGCCAGGCTAACCTGCGTTCTTTTTGACAAGGAACTCATTTTTATGACAAATGTTTATTTTAGTGCAGTGCTATTCAAAGTACATTTGAGACTGACAGCTGATGGGGTTTTTTTGCCCATTTTAAAGATTCGTGGCTCCCAGTAGAATGTAAATTAGCACACATTTCCTTTACTGAGAAAGTCTCCCTGTGAACAAATCAGCTGAACTAAAAGGTGTGCTTACTGACATTGTTGATTTACATTCTGAGGCAGCTCCTTATCTTACCACGGACCAACAATTTGAGCAGTCCTGTGTTAGCATTCACTTGAAAGCAAGTGGAGTTTTGAGAGAGAACCAAGACAGATAATTTTCAGGAAGTTATTTCTTGATTCATATATTCTACCAAATGAAAATCTGCTAAGCATCTTATCAAAATTAAAAACTTTTATTCCACAAAATACTCAGTTAAGAGGATGGAAAGACAGATTACAGACTCAGGGGAAATATTTGCAAACCACATACCTGACAAAGAACTAATATCTATAATGTGTTAAAAAAAAACAACTCTCAAGCCCTAACCGGTTTGGCTCAGTGGATAGAGCGTCGGCCTGTGGACTCAAGGGTCCCAGGTTCGATTCCAGTCAAGGGCATGTACCTTGGTTGTGGGTACATTCCCAGTACGGGGTGTGCAGGAGGCAGCTGATCGATGTTTCTCTCTCATCGATGTTTCTAACTCTCTATTCCTCTCCCTTCCTCTCTGTAAAAAAATCAATAAAATATATTTAAAAAAAAAACAACTCCCAAAACTCAAACTACAATTAAGACCAAACAGTACAATTAAGGAAATGGGTAAAAGACATGAATAGACATTGCACTCAAAAGGATGTACAGTTGGCAAACAAGCACATGAGTGAAAAGATACTCAGTATCATTAACCATTAGGGAAATGTACATTAAAAACACAGTGAGCCGTGGCCTGGTTGCTCAGTTGGTTGAGAGTCGTCCCAATAGACCAAGGTAGCAGATTCGAGCCCGGGTCAGGGCACATACAAGAATCAACTAGTGAATACATAAATGAGTTATGTATTGGGCAGATCCATGTTTCTCCCTCCCACCCCACCCCTTCCTCTCTCAAGGCAATTAAATTTTTTTAAATACAATGAGATAATGCTACACATCTAGAAGAATGACTGAAATAAAAAATAGAGATAACACTAAATGCTGGCGAGGATGCAGAGAAACTGAATTATTCATTCATTAGGTTGTAGGAATATAAGATGTACATCCTCTTTGGAACACAGTTGGGCAGTTTATTTTTTATTTTGAGAGCACCTTTATTAAAGCTGGGGGCAGTGAAGCAAAGAAGGGCCTAGGATAGAAGAAGTAATAGGCTAATTTTTAGGTTGATAATTTTGTACGGCCTGCAAATAATGCTATAAATATCCAAATGGCCTTTGGCTGAAAAAAGGTTCCCCATCCCTGTCTTAGACTAAACATGTACCCATCATAAAACATAGCAGTTGCACACCTGAGCATTTATTCTAGAGAAATGAAAAGAACTTTCCACCAAAACTTGTATATGCATGTTCATAGCAGCTTTATTAGTAAGAACCTAAAAGTAGAAATAAGTCAGATGTCCTTCAATGGGTGAATAGTTAAACTATAATATATAATACACTCATACTATGGAATATACTCAGTAATAAAAAGGAACAAACTATCGATACAACAACTTGACCAAATATCCAGAGAGTTTTACTAAGTGAAAAGCCAATCCCAAATGAAATGGACTGGGTGATTTCATTTATATTATGCTCTTGAAATAACATAAATGTATAAACTGGAGAAATTTAGGAGTAGGTGTGGCTGTAAGGGGATAGAAGGAAAGAGCCTGTGGTGGTGATATAGCTCCTTTTTTAAAAAAAGTATATTTTTATTGATTTCAGAAAGGAAGGGAGAGGGAGACAAAGATAGAAACATCAATAATGAGAAAGAATTACTGATCGGCTGCCTCCTGCACACCCCCTACTGGGGATCGAGCTCACAACCCAGACATGTGCCCTTGACCCAATCAAACCTGGGACCCTTCAGTCCGCAGGCCAAAGCTCCATCCACCGAGCCAAACCGGCTAGGGCAGTGGTATAGTTCTTTATCTTGATTGTGGTGGTTACATGAAACTACCTATGTGATAAAATTGCAAAGAAGTATGCATATGCACACACATAAGCAAACAAAGATGAGTGCATATATAAACGGTAAAATCTGAATAAACTCTGGTTTATCAATTTCAGTTTCCTGGTTTTAATATCGTACTATATTATACAAGATGTTAGCATTGGGGGAGACTGGGTAGAAGGTGCATGGAACCTTCCTGTACATTTCTTTGTAATTGCCTGAGACTCTAATTTTTGAAAGTCAAAGGTTTAAGAAAAAACTTGTGGTGGTGAACAATACAATATACAGAGAATGTGCCCTGCTGGTGTGGCTTAGTGGTTGAATGTCGACTCATGAATCAGGGGGTCACGGTTCAGTGATTCCCAGTCAGGGCACAGACCTGGGTTACAAGCTCCATTCCCAGGTAGGAGCAAGCAGGAGGCAGCCAGCTGATTATTATTTATTTTTCATCATTGATGTTTCTATCTCTCCCTTTTCCTTCTCTCTGAAATCAATTTTAAAAACAATAACAATATACAGAGACTGTATTCTAGAATTATACACCTAAAACCTATATAATTTTATTAACCAATGTCACCCCAATAAATTCAATAAAAAATTAAATGATTTTTTTTTTTAATTTAAGAAAAAATCTTTGTATCCTTTCCATGTCAGGTATAAAACCTGGCTCCTGGGGAGATAGCTATAAATCGACACGGCCTCTGTCTCATGGACTAATGGTCTTGATTATGTTGGGTAGGCAACCAGGTTGAACAATAAATGGCAAAAAAATGATGACTATTATGAAAGGGGAAATATGTGGGACCTGTATGTGAGAGAGCAAAGCAAGTGATTGAGCTTCATCTTGGGGATCTGGAGGGAACAATTTAAATGAAGACTTGAAAGGTGAAGAGGCATTAGCAATGTGAAGAGTTACAGGAAGAACATCCCAGGCCGTGAAGAGTTATAAATACTCCAGTGCGGGAGGGGGGGGGGGAGGTTGGGCGTTAATGGGGGGGATGAGGACACATTTGTAATACCTTAACTAATAAAAAAAAAAAAAATGCTCCAGTGCCATTCAGTAAAATACTGCTTCTTTTTGGAGGAGGAAAGCAATTGACAGGATTAGTTACTAGATTCTAGACCAGGGGTGGGCAAACTTTTTGACTCGAGGGCCACAATGGGTTCTTAAACTGGACCGGAGGGCTGGAACAAAAGCATGGATGGAGTGTTTGTGTGAACTAATATAAATTCAAAGTAAACATCATTACATAAAAGGGTACGGTCTTTTTTTTTTTTTTTTTTTTAGTTTTATTCATTTCAAACGGGCCGGATCCGGCCCGCGGGCTGTAGTTTGTCCACGGCTGGCCTAGACTGATGAAGGTAATAGTCTGCTAATAGCATTGTCCCATACTTAGGTTGACGCTGCCTTACCCTTGGACATCCTAACCTACGAAGAGGAGACCTTGTCAGCCATATTGAGAATATGTAGCAGGTACGACAAACAGCATTTCTAGCATAACGGAGCAGAGATGGGTGGGGAACTAGAACCAAAATGCTCTTTTCTGAGAATAAGAAGAGCTTTGTCATTGTGAACTCTGAGCAGCTTTTGGAAGTTTAAACTGGGGAGAACATGAACATTCACCTAGCAGGAGCTTACACCCTAGAGAGCAAAACGTGGATTTGCTTACAACTGTAGTGTTTCCCAATTGATGGTGATGGTTGCAACTTCAGAGATATAGCCCTAGCCGGTTTGGCTCAGTGGATAGAACATTGGCCTACAGACTGAAGGGTCCTGGGATCGATTATGGTCAAGGGCACATGCCCAGGTTCCAGGCTCAATCCCCAGTAGGAGGTGTGCAGGAGGCAGCCGATCAATGATTCTCATCATTGATGTTTCTCTCTCTCTCCCTTCCTCTCTAAAATTAAAAAATATATTAAAAAAAGAAATTAGTATTATTTTAAAATTCAGAAATACATATTTTGGAAACATTTCTAATTGTGGTTCATTGTATTCTCTGCCGGTAGTGTACTGTGCTTTAAAGTTTTCTCATTTAAATTGAGTTTTCTGAGCTGTCACAAACAAAACTACTTGGGAGATGTTGCAGGGACACATCTTTATGCTTTCTCAATTTTTCTGCAGTGGCCTTGTCAGATTGTGGAGCTCTTTGACCCTGTTAGGATCCTATAAAGGCAAGAAGTGTGCCTTCAGAGTGATTCAGGTAAAGACTATTGCTTCACATATTCCAAACAAGGCTGAGTAGTGGATCAAACTGCTTTTTAAAATGTGTTCCATTTTTCTGCTTGTATAACTCTAGTTTGGTTACTGTCATCCAGTGGGGAGGGAGGGGAACCCAGGCATTCATTGCTTCTGGAAACATGAGGCAAAGCACTTAGAGTTTAGATTGTATGGGAAGAGTTTTGGGATAAAACTTGGAACCTTGTGGAGAAATCTTAACTTTCACTTACTGCATAATGCCTAGTGACTTGTGTATTGGCATGCTCTTTCTGAGCTCATCATGACCACTTGCTTATCTATGGCTACCTCTCAGAATGCTTGTTAAAATGCTACTGCGTCAGCTTGGCTTATTCTGTAAGCTAGGCATGTTTCTACATTGCCCTGCGTTTCAGTGCAATTTTCTCCTGATAACTGTGTAAACATTTTTCTTTCTATTATAGGTTTCTCCATTTCTCCTTGCGTTATCTGGTAATAGTAGGGAACTAGTATTGGATTGAATGGTCTTCAATTTCAGAAACATTCCTCTGCTCTCAAAACTATCTTTTGGTGCCAGCATAATGCTTGATGACTGAAACAGGCTCAGCGCTGCTGTTGATGGAATTTGAGGGTGCCGAAGATGTTCCCCGTAATTTCCAGCCGTCGTCTTTGGTGGTGTAGCCTTCAGAGGAGAATCTGCCTGAACCAACCAGTTGTAAGCAGGCAGCACTTTCAGCATATGCACATCCGAGTTGGAGACCGGGCTGAACTCAGCAGAGCCTTCACACAAAGGGATGTGGTTGCCTTCTCAGAACTAACAGGGGATGTTAATCCTTTGCATTTAAATGAAGATTTTGCAAAGCACACCAAGTTTGGAAAGACAATTGTGCATGGAGTTTTGATCAATGGACTTATTTCAGCTCTCCTGGGGACTAAAATGCCAGGCCCAGGCTGTGTATTTATTTCCCAGGAAATTCACTTTCCAGCCCCTTTATATGTTGGAGAAGTTGTTGTAGCTTCTGCAGAAGTGCAAAGGCTGAAGCGGTTCATTGCGGTTATTGCTGTGTCATGCTTTGTAAGAGAAAGTGAAAAGACTGTTATGGAAGGCTGCGTGAAAGTTATGGTCCCAGAAGCTTCCAAGCCCTGAAATATGTGTTTAAAGATGCAAGCTCAGGCATCAGTGTTACTGTTACTGAAGAGCCTCTGAGGAAAACGGATTGCTGCTCTTCAACGAGGAGTGGCCAGCAGACCCAGCAGCCCACAGTGGGGGAGGCAGCAGGTAGCGAGGGGTTCACATGCCCACTTTCTAATTCGGCCTTATGTTTCATACAGATGAGTCTATTTATCATCTAAGTTTGTAAATTTGAAAAAATATGGGGAAAGTTATCATTTAGCTCAAGGTTCTAATTTTAGGATTTCAAACCAAGTTAAATTTGCATTTGGATAACACAAACTTACCTATATCTGCATAGAATAAATTTCTCAGTGAATTTATAGCTAGGTAGCATTTAATTTTTGACAGCAATTAGAAGAGGAGTTGGGTAATCTTTGAACACCTGTCTTTACCAATAAATATTTAGATACTGTTCTTCAGTAGTTTCTGGGTCAGAGTGTTTTGTAATTTGTTACTGTTTATACCAGGATGGCATCTTGCTTAACCTTCAAGTGGAACGTGCCTCTCAGATGGTTTCTTGTTATCAGAGAAAGATTTAAAGTCAGTTATTTAAACTCTTGGTCTAATCTACAAAATGGGGGTAATGACACCTACCACAGGATTGTTGGAGATACAAATAGCAAAGCACAAGGCCTAGCCTATAAACAGTAGCTACTACTATTGTTCCTTCTCCCCTGTGAATGAGGTTAGAGGTTTTCCTGAGTTTAAAGCTAACTGGCCTGCAGGTATACAGGCCAGTCTTTCAGGATGTCAACTAAGCTCTTGGTATTTTAAACCTGGAATAGTTCTTGAGTGCAAAATTTCTATTTTAGCAATCCAGGTTATTTCTCCCTCCCTTGATAATGTGGACCCCCCCCTCCCCCCCCCCCCCCCCGTATATAAATAATATATACCTATTGTAAAAAATTTTATAAGAAATAAAAAGTATAAGGAACACCGTGGAGGCCACATTCTTCAGAATTGGGGGGCATTAAAGAGAAAATGTGCCTAATGTGTTAGTATTCCATAGTCATCCCCAACACAGCTAATGCTTTTAAGACAGTCTGTAACGGAACATGCATGTGGCCCACCTGAATGACTCTGACCATAGCTAGATGCTTTGATCAGGAAAGTAAGATCAAGTGTAATTGGTTGGATCAACCCACATTTCCTGGAAAAGGGTTTTTTCTCCTGCTAGTAGATCAATAACTAGATTTTTATTTTAGTTTTTTACATTAAGGGGATCAGTTAAATGGATTACTTGAAAGAATTCTAGTCACTAGAGGGCAGTGATGTGTATAAGGTATTTTTAAACTTGTTTAATATTGTACCATACTCTAGTTTGTGACTGAAGTAAAAATAATCAAAATCAATGTGAGAAACAAGGGTGCCATTCTCATGCATTTCAGAGTGGGCAGCATTCACAGGCTCAGATCCACCGGAAGAAGACTTGCTGATAGATAAAACACTGCACATGTTGAAAATTTGATATACGTTGAAAAAATGGGGAACTTGCACAAAATGTGGACTGAAGCCCACATTCAAATTCTATAGATCTCATTCTCTGACTTAGTAGCAGTCTTGAAATGGAGTGTGATATCATCATTAATACTAATAGCTACCATTTCTTCAATACTTAATGAGCCTGTTTTCTACATTAATCCTTTGAACAACTTTGTGAAGTTAAACTTATGTTGTCCTATTTTATAGGCAAGGAAACAGACTAATGCTGTGTGACTTGCCCAGGGTTATACAGCGGGTATGCAGGAGAGCTGGGATTCAGACGGGCCTGCCTGGCTCCAAACATTTCTTTTTTACATCACCCTGTGTCTTATAATGTTCCCATTACTAAAGCAATGTCAGTTTCTATAATAGTATCTTTTTATGGCCATTAAAAGTATCTGGAGACATCATTCTATAGAATTTTTTCTTATATTCAGAATGTTCTAGATCTTATTCCCTGCTACAGTTGTAGCATTTCCCTCTATATATTACTTTATGCCTTCCACCCATACCTATTCTTGCCCCTTTTCTAAGTTGACATTCAGTGATTATTTGTCTCCAGAGCAGATTTACTGAAAGAGTTATTCTAAAGATGAAAAATTATGTGCAGGCCAAATATTTGGGGGTAGGTGGGAAGGGGTGTCAGAACTGGCTGTTAGCTGATTTATATTGTATAACTCAAAAGTATTTTCTCAAGCTCATTTCCTTTTTCTTTAATGCTCCCTAGGCGTCATGATCTTTGATCTCTATAAATCAGTACAAAGTTGAATAGATGAGTAGGCAAGAAGTTAGGGATGCTTCTCTGTAAATGATAATTTGTTATTTTTACTCAGAGCCAAGATTTTCAAACCAGCTATGTTAAAGCTGGCAATAAGAAAAACTAGCGGGTTGGCTTTTTCATTTTGAATCCTGTCCGGGTAAGCTGCTGGAAAGAATGACTTCTAATGAAAGTGTGGGTGACCCTGAAATTAGGAAATCTTCCAGATAACAGGGATGGCTTTGACCATGTGAGGTCACACATGGAAGTGAGTACAAATGACTGACTAAAATAGCAGGCCAAAGTGTACTAGCACTTTCCACATAGGGGCATTATAAGACTACAATTTATGCAATGTTTGATTGTCACAGGAAGATATACTCATCTTAAGCAATTTCAGCCTAATGTACTGGAAAATTGCTTAACAGATTTTTATATTCTATTAGAAACATTTCCACATTGGTAATATGTTTCTTTTTCTGAGCAGCAAATCTTGAGTAACAGTGGAGAAAGCCTCACCACAGCCACCATTCATCTTGTGGACTTGACTTGTATATTCATCTAGAAAAACAAGAAATTGCTAAATGCACGCTGGTACCTCTTAGGTAACCACAGGTTTTCAGTTTGTGCTAAATTACTAATTTTTTTAATGTTCTTAGAGTATGATTCAGAGTAATTTACTCCCAAAGAAAATTGCTATTAAATTACATCTATTAAATTTTTATGTTAAAACATACTCCACCAAGGGCTGTCACTCTGAGCAGCTGTGCCACTCTGAATGCCTCATGTGTTGGCAGAATTTATGAACTGGCTCTGTCTGAGCAGAATGGGAGCACTGTGGAATGTCTCTTGGGCTGCTCTTGAACATCTCCAGGGCCCCAGATGTTTTGCTTCCTTTGTTCTTGGCTTGTCTTCATTTGGGTTACAAACACAGCAGAGAAGAATTCTCAACGTCTTCAGTGAAACTTCAGCTTGGAGCAAAATCAACTTGAAGAAATTTAAGTTCAAATCACAGGAAAACCCAAAACGAATGTTGACACTGCATGAATAGAAATGGATTAGTAGGAGGTCCCATAGTCAATTTCTAGGTGCCTCTTAGCTCTAATAGTTTACATGACCTTTGAAACCTTGGGGATATTCCTCTGCAATGTGATGGGCAATATCAACACGTAAGAGAAATAAGATCAAATTTGAGTTGAATTTTGTTTTTCTATCCAGATCATGAAGTTTCTAGTCGTCAGGAAATGAAAGCACCAGGAGAAAATAAATGGCAGCTCCAAAGTCCCTCCCTCCCAGAAGAGAAGGTGCACCCAAGCACCAGTGTTAGGATTGTCTGTCTGAATATTTAAAGAAATAAAGTCATTTTGAGTCTGGAGGCGATGCTGCTTAGGAAGCACTGAGTTTTCCACAAGCTTCTATGATGTGATTTGTGGAGCAGTTGCCAGGTCTAAAAGCATCCTCACTAAAACTCATCTTCAGCCCATCTGGCCAAACGTCAAGTTATTAGATAACCTTTGGGCCATCTAACATTTGGCAACATACAAGGATATATAAATCTTTTGTTGCTTCCTGCCAGCCCTGAGTAGTAGTGTATGTGGCAAAACTAAGGTCCTGCATAATGCATTAGCTTTGCTCAGACTGAGACTGGAAGAAAAGCTAATTTGTTATTCCTGGGGAGGGTTCCCCCCTTGCTGTGTGAGCCACTTCAAAAGCCAAACAGGTGTTGAGGCAGTTGTAGGGTTTGGGGCCTGGTCTCCAGTGAATCTAGGGATCCAGTTAAGTTGAAGGTCCTAAGAGGATCTCTGACAAGGCACTGATTTGAGAAGATGAAAATGAAATTACAAGGTTCACCATAGCCTTTATTCTGAGGGGCTTAGTTCAGGCAAGAATTTCCAGAGAAAGGGAATGGCTAGACTGAAAGTTGGTTTCTGGTTTCATTCCATCCAATATCTGGTTTCTCACTTTCAGTTTCCTTTTCCCAGTGAGGAAGACTAGACAAGGCTGTTATTTTATGACCTTTGCAACTCATTGTATGATACTGTTTTTTTTCCCTAATCATACAAGTAAATTATCTCCATTAGAGAAATTTTGAAAAACAGGAGAGCATAAAAATGGAAAGCATCGTGCTCCCACTTTCTAGGTTAATATTTTGGTGTTTTTCGTATAATATACATTTTTAAAACTTGGTATCATACAAATGCATATACAGTTGACACTTGAACAATGCAGGCGTTAGGGACACTGACCCCCATGCAGTTGAAATTCCATAAATAACTTTTACCTGCCTCAAAACTTAACTACAGTCAACCCTTGGTATTGGATTGGGTCCAGGACCCCGCCATGGGTACCCAAATCTGCAGATGCCCAAGGCCCTTATATAAAAAGGCATAGAAAAAAGCATATAGTCAGCCCCCTGCATCTGCAGATTCCAACCATGGATCAAAATACTGTTTTTGGTCTATAATTGGTTCAATCTATGGATGCAAAACTGGAGGTACTGAGGGTGGACTATATTTATTGAAAAAAATCCAGGGATAAGTGGATCTGCACAGTTCAAACCTGCGTTGTTGAAGAATCAACAGTGTTGTTTTTTTTCCTACCATTATATAAAGAGCATTTCTTAACATCGTTACATATTCTTTGATAATCTGATTTTTAATCTTATTTTTAATAATGGAAAAATATTCCATTTATGATTAACCATGATTCGTCCAGTTCCCTCTTGTTAGATCCTTATCCTCATGCTGTATATTTCCACTGATGTCTGATTATTGCCTTAGGATACCCTCCTAGATATAGAATTACTGAGTGAGAACATTTGCAAAGACCTTGATAAATCTTGTTGAATCCCAGCACCAGACCTATTACATGGTAAGTACTCAGTAAGTACTTGTTGAACGAACAAGTGCCTTTAGAAAGGTTGGAACATTGCAGAGTCCCACCAGCAGGATGCCAGAAGAACTTTGGCATGGCCAGTGCACATGATTGGAGAATTGATTAAAGCAGAATTTGGGTATGTGTGATTCTGGCAATGAAATAATCCATTTGCATGAAAAAATAAAAGTTACAAGTTGAATCCTCTCTAAGTGATGTAAGATTTTGTTTTAACAGACTGATGCTTTTAAACATTCTGGGCCTGGCCAGCATGGCGCAGTGGTTGAGCTCGACCTGTGAACCAGGAGG